CTACAAAATAAACAAAAAAATATCCTTAGCATGTAGTCATCCCTCAAAAGCATAAGAAAAGAAAACCTACCAAGGATGTCTAACTTTGGAGGGCATTCCAGTGTCTGCTGCACACGTACGATTGGTTCCTTATTCTCATCATATCCATAAACAAAGGTGAAGCGGCAATCGTTCTCGTCAAAGAAGGTGCACAGACGCTCTCCTTCGTTTTCAACTGGAAGTAGGGATTGATCAGAATGTAAGCATCACAGTATAAGATATTTCTTAACTAAGGGTAAAACATTTAAACCAAACTAAACTAAGCTTAAAAAAAAAGTTATAAAACTAATCAACTTTTTAAATGAGTACAACTAATACTAGTATTGTTAACTAGCCTTACAATTATGCTATACATGAGAGTATACATGGTAGGTTTACATGTATATGTATAAAAAAAAAAGTACTGCCACCAAAGACAAAAACATTAATAAAAAAACATATTTGTACTTCCTTGTTTTGTCATTAATGAAAAAACATTGATATATCTAATCAGTGTCAAAAGAAAAGAAGCCCTTTTAAAAACTGAAACTATGAACTCCTCTATCTATCCTTTCTAAACATGTAAGTGATGTAACTACAAAAATATCACGCACTTGTTCAAGAACAAACTCCAAGCACTACTTAAAATGCAATCTGTCTCTATATCCATCAATGTCTATTACTCTTTACAAAAAAAATGAATCACAGACCAATCAAGTGTGTATTCAAAAGTGCTTTGTGTGAGCACACAGTCAAAATACATCAAACAAACTAGATAAATCCTTCGTGAGTAAATTTTGAACTACTTATTGCCACTTCATGTATATATGCTTTGTATACGCACATAAATTATATATTGTATATGTAATGCATTTATAAATGTGCAAATACAAATAAATACATACATAATGTTACATATATATTTTCTTCTTATTTCTGCTAATGAATTTTTGATAAGGTCCATTTCATCGTAACCACATCAAGATATCCACACATGATCTAAAGACTTGAGAATTTAGAGACAAAAAGGATTATCAAAGTAATTTTTATAAGCATTTTTAAACTATCAATAATAAAAAAACAAACAAACAAACTCCAAAGTAAGAGTGTTTTTCTTATACATAATAAAAAATACAAAAAAGAAAGAAAAAGAAAGAAAGGGAAAAAAAGAGAAGAAAAGAAAAAAAAATACAGGCAATTTACTCTCAGTCACACTTCACAGAAAAAAAAAAAAGATCTGCAAACCACAAGGATAAATTTACAATTGGAACCCAACAACTTAGGTGATGTTAACTGGATGTGCATTTCTGTGTTTTTTCCAACTTTTTTTATTATCTTTATCTGAAACTTCAGCATATGAAATTATACTGAATCTCATAAAGACTGTGTTACAGAACAGGTTTAATTCAGTATAATTTCAAAATGATTTCTACATTTCTGTAAAGGCTCTTTCTCACATTAATGAACTACCAAAACCTTACATATTATGAATGGTATTTACCTTGGCTAATGAAACTAATTAACTTACACTATCAAAATGAACTAAAATGCACATGCATATCACCTGACCCAACCTCTTCTTGGCTTAACAAAATTACTTTTGTTCTTTACTTAACAGACCTTTATTAAAGCAAAATCGGAAATTAACTGTATAAATGAAATTTTCAGCAAGCATTATGTACTACTAATCATACGTTGTCCATGCCATCAACATCTTAGTTAATCAAATCAATCTGCTAGACCTCCTTTCCCACTTTCATAGGTTGGTCCTGCAAAGCTTACTAAAATATAAAACTTATATATATAATTAAATCCATTAAATTTCATAAGAGATTAGAAATGCATGTCACACAAACTTATTGCACAGTACAAGAATGATGTTCCTGTGCCAATGCCACATCGTCTGCTGTCCATCTCAGTACCTTCAACCCAGTTAGTAACATTAATAGTATAGTTGGCAATGGCTCGGTCTGTAATGGTGCTGTAGAGGAGGGAGCAGCTATCACAGAGCACTGGATCTTCCGCCAAAGGGCCCGTCTCGTAAACACGACACTGTACACACTCCTTAAAGTCCAGGCACTTGAAGTCAGTGCCACACAGCTACAAGGAAATACAGGCATGCTATAAATAATAACTAGGTATAATAAAATAAATAAAGATAAAAAGAAAGAAGTAAAAGAAAAAAAAAAGGGGGATACCTGTCAGCATTAGAACCTTCTAATGCTTCTGCTGCAACCACTGACAGGAAAGACACATCAGGAATTAATGAACAGCATGAAGTACAAGAGTCTTTGCCAATATCTGTTCCCGGTTTAGACCTGGCAAAAATTCTGTTACTTTAAGCTGTCACTAGTGGGGGAAAAACCCTAAAACCTCACCTTCAGCTACTGGTACAGGAGTGGAGTTGAAAGTAGTACAGTTGGCTTTGCACTCCTCGATGTTGAATTCACCAGTTTCAAACACCTGGCACTGTACACACGCCTTGTATGCAATGCATTTGCCCTTGCATGTCTGGGGTGGATGCACATAACCAGGAGGAGAACCCAATTTCATTTAATACATTGGCATTGCAAATTGCGCATCAGGTTAATGTTGACATGTGGAGGGATTGAAGACAAGGAAACAGCAGGCAAGGATGCAGGCAGGCAAACACCCATGTAAAGGGGAAAAAAAGGAACAATACAAAATTAGTTCATATGTTGCAACATTATACTTTTTTTTTATGTCACTGCATAAAGTAATTACTGCATATAAAATTAACATTTCTTTTAAATCATAGAGTCTATATGTTTTGAAGATGTAAAATAATTACAATATATGCTGCTTCGAGTGTACATGCAAATACACAGGATAAAAGTCTACCTAAATATGTAGATGAAAGTGCATGTGTGTGTTGGTGAAAATAATTAAAATGCTTGGACTGTAATCTAAATGTGTGAATATATTTCCCTATCTGCATGCAACTTGTTATCAATAAACGTCTACATGATGTGACACTAATAAATATTACTTAAAACATTAAGTACAAAATTGGAATAGCAGTTCAGCAAATTAACAAGATATATTATGTTTACAAAAATTTAAAGCAACTCAAGATAATGCTGAAGGGGATTATTAACAAAGATACAAATTATGCATTAAAAAAAAAAATTATACATTTGAATTAATTAACAAAATTTAGGCCTACACTTTTTCAAGTAAATCACTTATCATTATTTTCTTTTACCAATTAAAACACACACAAACACCATCACCACTTCCCTTTAATGAAAGTGATGCAAAATGTAAAAATCAAGTCTAAACTACAAAGTACCACACACACACAAATGCCATTATGGTTATGATGTGACTGACATCCAGAGGTAATGGAGTAACTAAATGGTTTGCGCTCTGCATGGATGAAGCAAACTTGTGCAACTGGACTCCTTTACTGCAACCCAGAACATATTCCACTACCCTAGATTACTGTGAGCAACCTTCAAACCAAAGGAGATTACTACATACATTCCCTGTATGTAGCTGAATACAAATACCCTATAAGCTTAATGGAATTTATCTTACACTTTTTTTTTTTTTTTTTTTTAAATTACACTGATAAGCTCACAAAATCCAAGATTATGGTGGTGGAAATGCATGTATAATAAAAAATGAAACTAATCGACAGTTATTGTGCATTTTAAACTGATATAGTACATGTTGATCTAAACATTTAACATCTATCTTTCAAGAAAAACATTTAAGTGTACAAACTGAGGTCCATGCAGTTTGTAAGTTCAAATGAAATAATATCTCAGTGATTTTACTTTAGAAATAAACCACCCAGTGAAAATAAGGATAAAAAACACATAACGTGAGTACACATCTACCAACAAATAATAATTGCTTGTCATGATATATGTGCAAATTTTTGTGTATCTATTGGAAGGTTTCAAAATACCAAAGTAATGGGGTTCTCCACACAACTAGAGCAGGGATAAAATTTGCAAGAGTAAAATTAACCTGTACCTTTTTATCCTGGTTGAGTATGCTGTATAATATATATTTCATAATCATATATTTGTTACCCACAATTTTGTCTTTCATAAATTTTCTCAATGTAATATATAAATGAAATGTACTACTGTTTTCCAGTTTTCTTGATTTATGTTCATCAAAACCTAATGAATGAAACTTATGATGCTAAATTGAACACTAAAACAAATGGTATGAATATATTATAGTTATCTTGGAAATGAGAAACAACGCTTTGAAGATGTTACTTACAGAACAGAAGAAAAGAAAAGCAAGAGAGAATATATATATATGCTATTGCTATTTCGTAACAAACTGATCTGAGTACAGTAAAAAGACCTACTGTTGACCATATACTAATAACATAATGGACTTTTAAATACAAAGAAACACTTACCGGACAGTCTTCACACCATTTGCCTGAATATCTGCCATCAGCTGTCTCATAACACTTGCACTGGTTGCACTCACATTTTCCTTGGTTTGAACAAATGTCTCCAGTATCTGAAATGAACAAGCAAGCATGTTAAGGATGTAACATGACGTGCCTTCCTTACCCGTTTTATTTTCACTGACTCATAGGAACTGAATGGGATAGGAGGATGAGCGAGAGGGGAGAGAGGAGGCAACAATAAATATCTATTTCATTAGAGGCAACAAGAATCTGGGTAGTGTGTGCCCAATTTCAATCTGCCCATCTGACGTAGGAATGGTCAAATGAATTTTTCTGCAACATTATCCACCTGGCATAAAAGCACACTGAATATATGCTTACTCACCAGGGTTTACACAATTGCTTTCACTGTCTTCACAATTGCAGGCCTCTCCAGTCCAACCTGGCTTGCATTTGCATTCATTGCAGACACATTCACCATGATCAGGTCCTGAGCACAGTAGTCCATTGTGACGATCGCAAAGGAAGTTGGTGCACTCGCAGAACTTTCCACTTACAATCTGTTGATAGCAAATTATCTTTGTGCAATCAATAAAAATAAAACAATTTTGGTAGATACTTAATGTATTAGCAGTACTCTTTAATACTGTTCCTTTACCTCTTTCATTTAACAGGCAATTAGACCACAAGAATGAAAGATGCTGTTTTGCGTCCGGGCAAAAATGAAAACTGATGACGCTATTTTTCATTATTCATTACTTATTTCTACAAGCATTTAAAGCCTATGATTTGCCGATTTTTGCAAAAAAACAGCATGACTATCAAGCAACCCTTGGGCCCTCCCCCAACTATTCCCATGCACTCATATGTGTATTCTTGTATGTAGGCCTAGACATCAGTCATATCAGTGCATGAAACTCCACTGGGCCTGATGCCAAATTGCCCCTTTGTTGCCAGATCACTGGAGATGGCAGACAATATTGTAAGTGAGATGTTTATTGTGCAGATTTGACAATATGGATGCATGGGAGTAAGGCATTTAGTGTTATGCTTTTTTTATTTATTATTTATTTATTATATATTATTATCATTTTTTTTTTGGGGGGGTGCAGGGAGAATGAAATTATTGAAATAATGATATACATTTTTTGAGGGGTGGGGTGGATGGGGGTGGACACAAACAGGAACTTTGATTCTGGCTTAGCTACGTAAGAGATTTAACTTTAAACAAAGAGAGGATAACACATATATTCCTATCATATGCTTTCATCTTTTAAAAACAGCTTTATATGAAAACTTTATCTCAAATATTGATCTTAAAATCTTGTATGTGGATAAAAAAAAAATAAATAAA